AAAGTTTGCAGAAGCTTCACGGATGGAGGGCGGTACAGGTCCAATATGTGGCTCTTGCTGTAGCGCCGCGCATATTCGTCCGAAGAGTTCGCAACAGTTTCAAAGATTCTCACGGTTGACGTCCCAGAAATGGTGCTCTGGTACGAAGTCGGAATGTCAGGGCGCAACAATCAGATTGATTCGAGGTGTTGAAGTCCCAGGAGTGGTGTTCTGGCTCAGGATCGTAAAGACGCAACAATATTGTAAAGGTGACTCGCAACGTTTAAGTCCCAAGAACGGTGTTATGGCACAGTTCCGGATTTTGAAACGGTTGTCTTCCAACGGGGCACTCTCCTCAGAACAAAAGCGAATCCTCGCAGGGGCCCATGAAGAAGGATTTCGGTGGCAAGGTTAATTGCAATATCGTTGATAAGTATTGGAATTACACTGGTCATCCTCCTCCTTCTCATCATTTCTTCCCCTCCCCCCCTCTCTGCCTCGTCCTCCTCCTCCTCCTCATCCTCCTCCTTCCAAAATTCCCTCCTACTCCTCCTCCTCCTCCTCCTCCTTCTCCTCCTCCTCCTCCTCCTCCTCCTCCTCCTCTTCTTCTTCCTCTGCCTCCTCTTCTTCCTCCTCCTCATCCTCCTCTTCATTTCTTCCTCTATTTCTCGTCCTCCTCCTCCTCCTCCTCCTCCTCCTCCTCCTCCTCCCTGGCCCGCCGATTGGTCTCGCAGTACGTCGTCAGGGCGGATTTGCTTCCGTCCCATCCCTGCCACACCTTCACTCTTCCTCATCCTTGTTCATCCCCCTCGCACCGTCGCATGTTTCTTCGGCCTCCCTACGTATCCTTCTCATCCTCCTTCTCCCCCTCCCCCTCCCCCGTCCCCTTCCTCCCCCATCCTCCCCCCTCCTCCTCCCCGGTGTCCACGCACTTCTGGATCACGTGGTTCCCGTGCTTGTGCACCATCATGTCCAGGACCTCCGGCCGGAGCTCCTCGGGGGGGCAGGGGGGGGCCTTGCCGTCGCTCGGACGTCCATTCCCTGTGCTTTGTTTGGTTTCGTGCGTGGCTGTTTCGCCAAATGATCAAGGATGCTCCTCGATGGTCCTCGCCGAAGGAACAATGCACACGTCCGAGCGATGCCAAGGGCTGGGGGGGGCAGGAGCAGACAAGGCGAGTCGGGGCCAGCTCGGGCCCCCGCGCACACCGCGAGCTGCCCGGCGACCTGCGCGCCTCTCTTTCCCCCGCGCGCCGCAGAGGGCCCGAGGGCGCGCCTCGGATGGCGCGGCGGGGGCCCGAGGGCGCGCCCGGGTGGCGCGGCGGGCGCTTCGAGCGCGATCACTCGATGTCCATCACCAGGAGGCTGGTGACCGCGTTGATGACCTCGGGCGGTCCGCGCAGGATTGGCCTCCTCCTCCTCCTCCTCCTCCTCCTCCTCCTCCTCCTCCTCCTCCTTCTCCTCCTCCTCACGCTCCCTCCTCGAAGGTTCGGGGCGCGGGCTTCGCTTTCCTTGTTCTGTGGCGTGTCGCTCCCCCCCCCGTCGTCGCCGCGGCTGGACGCGTCTGGGAAAACGGGCCAGGACGGACCGCGGGAGGGGTCGGAGTCCCGAGCGGGGTTCGGTCGGAGACTGGACGAGGGGGACGGTCTGCTTCCTAAGAAGAAGCTCCGCCTCCCAGAGGCTTCCCCATGCCTTCTGAGAAAACTTCTTGGGGGCCCCTGGGGAAGCATGGGACCTCTGGGAAAGGGAGCCCCCTGCCTTCCTGGCAGGCCGCCCCCCTCCTCGCCCTGCCCCCTTGCTGCAAACCGCCGAGGCCTCCTGGTCCTCGCCGCCGGGCACCTCGAAGGAGGGCTTGCTGAGCAGCCGCTGGAGCACCTCCTGCAGCCGCCTCCTGAGCCCCAGCAGCATCGCCGCGTCCCGCGCGGCCGCCTGGCAGTGTATCCAGCCGTCCACGCTGGCCCTGCCCGCCAGGTAGTCCACGGCCACGCGGTGGCCCAGCACGAAGAGGGCCTTGACCGAGACCCCGCAGCAGTCTCGCACGTACGTCTGGGCCTTCGCCCCGGGCCGGTTGGCCACCGACCGCACCTTCTCCGCGTACATGAAGGCGCGGTGCCGCAGCTGGGCGGCGGCCCTCTTCTGCGGGGGCGGCTTCGGCGTCTCGCACTGCAGGCAGAACTCGCGGGAGCCGAAGTTGAAGAAGGTGCACTTGGGGCAGTTCCAGTCCCCCGCGGCTGCCTCCGCCGCCGCCGCGTCCTGGACGCCGACGATGCTGGAGGGGTGGAAGGCCAGCGCCGCCGCGTGCTTCGCGACCAGCTGGCGGGCCGGCCCCGGCTTCTGCAGCACCACCTGCGGCCACAGCGCCGCGCACAGCAGGGACCGCAGCAGCTGGCGCCGCCGCCTGTCGAACTCCTCCCCGGCGGTGGCGACGCTCGCCAGGCAGGGCGGCAGCCACGGCGCCCCCGCGGCGCCTCCGCCCCTCCTCTGGCGGACAGAGAACGGCACAGCACAGACGTGTCCGCCCTCG